CTTTGTACTCCTAGTCCCCCCATGAGTTGTATTGTGTACTACAGCCAAAGATCTAAGCCATCATCTGTAAGGGTGAGTGGATGTTTCAGTCCCCATGACTGTTCGCACCTTGACTTCTCTGCTGAGACGACCACTGACTGGTGCAAATTAGTACCAACTGTGATAATGATTTTACTTGGTCTGCTAGGAACTGGACTGGGACCACTATCTCATTTTAGATAGGCCACCAAATTTTCTTCAGGTACTATAGAACTGTACTGGATTCAAATGAGCAAGCATAGTAGCATTTCATGAGGCAACAAATATATTTCTGCAAACAGCCTATCACACTACAACTAGTTAATGAGATCTGGCTATCTGCCATGGAGGAACTAGACTGAGTCCATCACAGTTGGTTCTATCTGTCACTTGTAAACTTTTCTAATGTGTCTAAAGCATCCATTTTCTTCTCATCCCAGTACAAATCAGAGTAACTCCAGCGTTAGTTACACCCATGTAAAATCAGTGAAAGAGGACAATCAGGCCCTTTGGTCTCAGTAAGTTTTTTAACTTCTTTAGTCCTAAGTAATGCGCAAGTGATGAAATGCTTCAGTACAAACAAGCAGACTATCTTAGGGTTTTCCATAGCACCTGTCACCGTAGTGTCTAAATCAGTGGTTCTCAACCCGCAGCCCCTGGGCCACTTGCGACCTGATCAGCACACCTGACATCCTCAGGGCCATTTAGGTTGTGTATATATATTGTGCGGATGTGGCCTACATAACACAGAGAGAGCTACATCTGAGGCCCACAATGGTAAATAGGTTCAGAACCCCTGGTCTAAGTGCTCCTCAGATAAATCAAGTCTTCATGGTGAGGTTCCCAGTCTGTTTCATGAGTCTTCTGCTCTTCTCCCTTCCACAGTAGATGAGGGTTTGTTTAGGGGTAGATGTATGTATTTTTGTTTGCTTGTTCTTTACCTCCCCTTCCACCAGCAGGGAGGAAGACCGGATTCTTGTTGGAGAGGAGATATAAGAGGAGAAGGGGGACCAAAATTTGCTTAGCTACAAAATCTATTAGCAGAAAGCACTGAAAATGATGATTATTCTTCAAGAGTGTTTGAAGAGTTAAATAATTTCCTTTAAAAATCTTTTAAGTATTTTATCATTTATTTTTAAGAGCGTAAGAACTTGTTAACCTTGTACCAAGTTTGATGAAGACTGTTCTATCTACTCCTTTTCCCTGGGAAGGAGTCCTCTGCAGCCCTCCCTTCCAAACACCCCCATTTCTCCTATTTACACCCTCCATTACTGAGGCATTTTTCATTGCAGTCACCACATTCTTGCCAGGACTGTCTTTGAAGTCTATCAGGACTGCTTCTTAACCTGACAGGAGGCTAGTGTGAAGCGATGCAGAGAACCTCTCCCACTCCCCAAAGCTGAGCATGCTGTCTCCACAGCACTCTGAGCCTCTTCGGAGAGTCAGACTGGGTACATCTAATTTTGCTGTGCCATCTGTTCTTTTTTATATGGAGTTTGTTGAAGTTTTTCACCATTTGGCTGTTGTCTATAATAGAGTGGCAGGTTGAAATACGCCGCCTTCTATTTTCCCCTTGAGATAGGGGGAGGCTTCCCCAGCTACAAGATTCTTGACGTTTGATAATACTTGATGTGCTGACAATGAGTGTTACCAATTTTTCAAATTGGTCAGAAAAATTAAAATATAACAAGACCTGAAGTGTTGTGAAAAAAGATTCTAACAGGCTGATAGTTAGAGACAAGGTTCCGTGTTACTACTTGCTTCCCTTGATAACTTGCAGTGGGAGGATGAATTGGTAAAAACAGCACTGACTGAATTGCAATTAAGACTTCTTTGTTAATTAAATGGACAAAGGAGATTCGTGACATTTGCTGCATTGGTTGATGGTTTCCTTGTGGTAAATGAAGTGGCTTGCCGGATGGCTGATGTTGACATATTCAAGTTGATTTCCTTTGGTTTCCTGACTAGGAATGTAGCATAAGAATGTTGCTGCCTCAGATGTCTGCATGGGATACGTTTCCATTGTATCTTAATTCACAATCTTTTGAATAACTTCCATATTGACTTGTGTGTGTATAACTGCAGAGATGCAAGGACTGAGATTTCCTTACATGTGTGGTATTCTTGGACACTCCACATGTATTTGCCTTTCTCAGTGCACAGATGGGATAGTCAATATCTGCCCTGCTTTAATTGAATAATTAACAGTAAATAGCTGACTTAGGAAGCATATTTTCTTTTCAATTCTAGTGGTGGTTACATTATCATTTCTCTTGAATGATGGTGAGTCATGTATCTGCCTGCCAGTTTGACAAAACATAGCATAAGTAATGTAATTAGGAAGGGAGCTTATCAAAACATTTGTGCACATTGGGCCAAATCCCAAGATGTGCTGAGCACCCATAGCTCCCATTGGAGTTGTTGGTAATTATGGGTGCTGAGAGCTGCTCAGTACACATTTTAGGTTGTATAGTTTGTGTTTCATTGTTGACTTCAGGTTCCATTTGATGCAGAAAAAGTTTCTGCAAGTGGAGATAGCTTGAATATTAAAACTCTTCTCATCTGTAAATGTGACATTCTGAAAGAGAATTTTCTTTTATTTTTGGGGTCAGGAGGGAGAGGGGTGTGCGGCTTTTAGCCATGTGACTGTTCTTACTGCTTATCTGACTTTTGGGACCAGTTCTGATGGCACACGGGAGCACAATCAAAGGATGTTTTGCTTTCATCACAAAAGGAAGAAATAAGAGGATACAAATTCCAGACCAATTGGCAGGCCATATCCTTCCTTTCCAGTGTTTGTATGGTATCCAACTTTTAGTTGGATGTAATATTCTCAAAATGGGCTCCTTCCCTGAAACTTTATTGTAACTAGGGCTGTTGATTAATCGTAGTTAACTCACGTGATTAACTCAAAAAAATTACCTGCGATTTAAAAAATTAATTGTGATTAATCGCACTGTTAAACAATAGAATATAAATTGAAATTTATTAAATATTTTGGATGTTTTTCTACATTTTCAAATATATTGGTTTTTATTACAACACAGAATACAAAGTGTACTGTGCTCACTTTATATTATTATTTTTATTACAAATATTTGCACTGTAAAAATGATAAACAAAAGAAATAGAATTTTTCAGTTCACCTCATACAGGTACTGTAATGCAATCTCTTTATTGTGAAAGTGTAACTTACAAATGTAGATTATTTTTTTTTGGTTATATAACTCCATTCAAAAACAAAACAATTAAAAACTTTAGATCCTACAAGTCCACTCAGTCCTACTTCTTGTTCATCCAATTGCTAAGACAAACAAGTTTGTTTACATTTACGGGAGATACTGCTGACTGCTTCGTATTTACGATGTCACCTGAAAGTGAGAACAGGTGTTCGCATGGCACTGTTGTAGCCAGCATCGCAAGATATTTACATGCCAGATGCATTAATCTTGCGATGCCGGCTACAACAGTGCCATGTGAACTGTTTCATGGGATTTATGTTTCTACTTCATGCCTGACTGCTCTATTTTCTTTGTCTTTTCCTGTATTTTTTGGTGGGAGTTTTAATCCTTGCCTATGTATTTGTTCTGTTAATTTTAGCTGTCTCTCATTTAATTTTATCTTACTTAATTTTTTTTATAGCTCTTTCTTCCTTTATTATTTGCCTGTGGTATTCTATTTACCGTTTCTGTACAGCACCAATTAGTATAATGAGCATTTTATACAGCAATTAAGGGGACAGTCCCTCCCCTCAGCAGGTAATTAGCAGAGGCCCTGATCCTGCAAAGGCATCTGGCCCCACCCATGCAGAATTCCCCTCAAGTCTGGTGTGCATATAGGGATGTTTTAGTTGCTTCCCTGCTTAAGGCTTGGTCTACACTAGCAACTTATGTCAGTATAACTACATCGCTCTGGGGTGTGGATTTTTCACACCCCTGAGTGACACTTATACCGACCTAACTCCTGATGTAGACGGCACCATGTCAACGTGAGGGCTTCTCCTGTCGACCTTCTACCACTACCGCTTCTCGCAGAGGTGAAGTACCTATGCTAACAGGGAAGCCTGCCCAAGGGTTTAAGTGGGATTTTCTGTGAAGCCTATAGTGGTGCTGCTGCATCAGTGTAGCTGCGTTGCTGCCGCCCTTTAAGTGTAGACAAGCCCTTACTGTAGACAAGCAAGTATTAGGGCCATACGTGGTGTGTGTTTTGTATTACCACAGGTGCTATGTATACATTCAGCATAACACAAGTGGTTAAAATGTTGAGGGAGCCAAAGGCCACGAGAAGTTACTTATTCTAAGATCATCAAAGAGTCCTGTGGCACATAGACTAACAGACGTATTGGAGCATGAGCTTTCGTGGGTGAATACCCACTTCGTCGGATGCATGGGTATTCACCCACGAAAGCTCATGCTCCAATATGTCTGTTAGTCTATAGGTGCCACAGGACTCTTTGCTGCTTTTACAAATCCAGACTAACACGGCTACCCCTCTGATACTTATTCTAAGATGAGATTCTCTTTTTGGCCCATTAAGGAATTTAAAACCAAGTCATGTCCTAGAATGGCGTGTTCATCCAAAGAGAATGGTTTTGTACATTTAATCATTTTGACTGGTCATCCCCATCAACTGGTACAGACTGCTGCATTGTAGACTGATGAGTCTACATTAGGAAGCATGCCGTTAGCAAGAACTAAGAGATTTATTTTTGTAGATCGAATATGTATGTTACTTCAGATGTTCTTTCTTACCCAGCTGCATTTTTAAAAGCAGAGCTTCCATTTTGAAGTTTGTCCATTTCTTTTTTCCTCTTTCGTTGTTATGTACAGGGAAAGCTACTGTATTATCCCCGCCCCAAAAATGACCTGACTACGAGCAGAGAGCATTTACAAATGAAAACAAATTGATTCTTCTCCCTTTCATCATGTGTAACTCTCTAAACTGTGGTGGTGGGTTTTTTTTTTTTTTTTTTTCAAATGCAGATTTTAGCAATGTGCCTGATGTCACGGCTGGTCTGAAGAGGAGCAGTACTGATGGCACTTTGGACCAAGTGCCACACAGGCAGAAGACTGACCCACCTTTCAGGGTAAGAGCATATCCTAGATGTAGCGATAATAAACAAACAAATTGGGGTCATTTTAAGATGACACTCTGCAGCTTGCAGAAAATGGGGGTTGATTATATACCAGTTTATTTGTATATCTTCTTCTTAGTAAATGAATTTATTGCTTATGACCCTGAAGGACTAATAGTATTCGCTTGAGGCCAGCCTTGACCTGTAACATCCCAGGGGCATAGCTGCTGTATCTCTAATGGTATTGCCATGTGGACAAATGGGAATAAGGCAATGTTCACCAAATTCCTCTTTGCAAGTCACCTAAAGGTGGGGTTTGAGCCTAAGGCTCAAGAGAAGATAACTTAGCATGCTAATCACTGCACCGTCTATGCATTCTAAGTTAGTTAGCTGTTCTCTAAATGTCTGTTAGCATTCTTATTCTTTGTGCTGTTGTTCCAAATAGTTTTATGACTTTTTAGGGTTGAGGTGACCATAGCAACAGTTACTTAAGCCACTGTAGAAGAGGCCACTAGTTCTAAGTGCCTCTAAGTGCCTCCTTTTTTTTTACATGGGGTCTGATTTTTAGAATCATAGACTTTAAGGTCAGAAGGGACCATTATGATCATCTAGTCTGACCTCCTGCACAACGCAGGCCACAGAATCTCACCCACCACTCCTGTAACAATCCCCTAACCTATGTCTGAGCTATTGAAGTTCTCAAATCATGGTTTAAAGACTTCAAGGTGCAGAGAATCCTCCAGCATGTGATCCGTGCTCCACGCTGCAGAGGAAGGCGAAAAACCCCTAGGGCCTCTGCCAATCTGGTCTGGAGGAAAATTCCTTCCTGACCCCAAATATGGCGATCAGCTAACCCTGAGCATGTGGGCAAGGCTCACCAGCCTAGTAACCCTTCTCTGCACCTGTTCCAGTTTGAATTAATCTTTCTTATACATGGGAGACCAGAATTGCACACAGTATTCCAGATGAGGTCTCACCAGTGCCTTGTATAACGGTACTAAGTCTTGAGCCCTCAAGGTTCATGAAACCTGGGTCTGGATTTGCCCCTTAAAACACATTGTTGCCTCACTTGGGGCAATGTGGAGGTGCACTATCCTGCTAGGAGCATTGGGATACATTGTGCTTTGGGGATCAAAGCAACTGCTATGTCCTTTGTGAAGATTTATTGTATGCTGCTGTCTGAATCCAGCCTTCATGCCTATCTAGGAGAGGCGAGGCTCTTGCCCTGGGCACCGATAGTCCGATGCAGTCTTCTACTCAGAGAGGCTCTTTGTGCCTCTCTCCCACTTCTCCTTGCATACCCATCCGCTGTAATCTTGCCCAAGGAGTGTGTGTGAGAGGAGGGAGAACAACGGTTCTGGAATAGTGCAGAGAGACATGCAAATCAGATCACAGTCTGCTTGAAGGAAGACATTTTTGTACTTTTGCTTTGCAAGAAACGTTTAGCTGCCAACAGGAAAGGAACAGACTTGTTTGTCAAAATCATTCCTGATGTCTTTTTAAAATACGCCAGAAAATGGGAAATTAAAGAGAGTTCAGCAGGATACTGATACACAGAGCGCAATTCATTTATAGCAGTTATTGGATGGGATAAGCTACTGTGAGCTTCTAAATTATGTACCACTGCCAATTCCAAAAGAACTGGAAGGGATCAGACAAGTTTGCTCCCTGGTGACTCTCTTTCCTAAAATCTCTACCAGTTATACCGGTGCATAATGTGTTAAGTTATTTCCCAGACCATATTGCAGTTGGGCTCTTTGATTGGAATACAGTAATGCGAACGTTATTTTTAAGAGTTAACGGAGGGTGTCCTGGCTTTCTAGATGCAGTGGAAAAAATGGCTTGGCAATCAGATGCAGTTTGATTTGATGAACCACAGCTGTAAACGAGTCTTTGACAGCCCTACAATTTCTGCAAATGGTTTTTAATTGATTGCCTTCTTTCGGTTGGAGGGTACCTATTACTGTCACAGCTCTTTGTACGACCCTCTCGATGTTTCTAATACATGTAGGATTTTTAAAGACAGCAAGTTAGAAAGTAGCCTCATTGTGCATGTTTGGTGATTGGGAACAAAAAGAAGTGGTTTCTGTTTTTGATGTAGGACTGTTCACCATATAAACAATAGGCACTCCTAATAAAAGCTAGTGGAAGAAAATAGTGCAACCTCCAAAGGTGTAGTATCTGCTTTTGTTTTGTTTTTTTCTTTGTCTCACATATCTATGTATGCTAGTTTGATGCATTTGTATGGAAGTACAGTTGTAGGGATATTTCAGTATTATGTAATGTTACAGAAGTGTGGGGGTGAGAGGAGGCTACATATGCAAGTACAGCATTGTGAAGAAGACATTGATGGTGGTAGGTGGTTCTGAACATATCTTGGAACAACAGGCAGTTTGGGGTTATTTTATTGGGGGGTGTGGGTGTGTGTGTGTGTGAGAGAGAGAGAGAGAGAGAGAGAGAGAGAGATGTTCATTTCCCAACAGACAACAGCTGTAGATGTAATCACTTGCTTTGTGGAAGCAGAATCCTTTGAACTTTGGTTGAATTTTTCCTAAAACAGGTAAGTAAACAAAAAGCAATCTTAATGAAGCTAAACTCTTAATATAAATCTGTATATTTGCTTATTAGATTTTATATTTGTACTTTTTGGGTTTTTTATTTTTCATTATATAGCCTCTTTCCTGTAACAACCTTAAGGATAATCTTTGCTGAAGAATGCACTGAAGAGAGCATCCAAATGAATTTCAGAGGTGCATACTAATTTGGGGCAAGAATATCTTTTGTCCTAGGGGTACTACATTGACCCTAACAATCTTTCATTCATTGTTTTCGTCCAGGAGACAGATGAATGAACTGAAATAGTTTTATGTCTGTCCATCAGTCTAAAAGTTAATTCGTGAGATAACAGGAAGATAAAGAGTTACTTAGTTACAGAAAATGAAACTTCTTGATAAGCTCTAAGAAATTATATAAAATAAGTAGACGCTTAAATCCATCCGTTCTTGGCAATTCTGTAGTTTTGGCAGTTTTCCTTTCTCTGAGATGCCCAGTTTATACCCTTCTTAATAACTGCTCCCCACCCCCATACACACACTTTTATTTTATTTTTTTTTACAATAAATGTTACACTTTTAACACATTCCGTGTCAATACATTTTCAAACTGTGTTAAAATATTGTTTACGTGGCAGTGGTATGTAACGTTGGCAATTGTTGTTTCTGCAATATGTAGGCATATTGTTGACAGAAGAATAGAAGACCTTGAAAAATCTAGGGATGCAGCACGATTGCTGATTCAGTTCGATTTAGTTGTGTTTCATCGCTCTGAGGTCTAATTTCTTGTGCTTCTGGTGTTCATTGAAATGCTGATATATTGACAATTGCCAAAGATCAAGTCCTTCATACATTAAAGTAACATGAGCTGCATTTTGTATTCAGTGCCTTATGTATAGTTACTTTTATTTTTATTCATAGGTCATAATTTATGAAAAATGTTTTCTGTAAACCATGGTATATTAGCTGGAAATATAACAGTGCAATTGCTAACTTGCCTATCTTTACTGTGTATTTTTGGTAGATTCTTTTAATGCATTACACTTATTTATTTAATTTTATTTGTTTTATTTTAAAGAGACATAATGTTACCAAAGAAGGCACTCCTACTCTAAGGCTTTCTTGTAAGACTAATGTAATCTGGCTTTCAGCTGCTCTAATTCTTTTGAGCATTATCAGAGAAAAGTGCTTCTCGAAACAAATTAAATTTGAACAAAAAAAGGAAATACTTTAATGTAAACATTCTCTCTCTCTCTGATATTAGATGTGTGTCTGTCAGAGTAGGAGAGAGATGTTTTCAGACCAGAGATTTACCAGATAATAATAAAAAAGATTAATTTACAGTAGATTTTAGTCACCATTCTTAAAGACCTATTTTGTCATCAGACTGGTTGCATGTCTCCAGCTTGGCAAAATAGTTAATAATGGAACACATTTGAAATAACTTCAGTGTGTTCAAAGCTGAATATTAAAGTTCTTATAAAAAGAATGGTTATTTTCCTGTATTTACAAAATCTATAGAAAAAATAGATAGTTGATACTTTGTTGTAATAGTAGTAATAGTGGAATGAATGCAATAATTCAGAGTAATATATGCCAACCTCTTCAAAAACTGTTACATGAAATAGAGCATATTTAGAAGATCCTATTTTGTGTTCCTGACTAGCGGAATAAAAATCAATGATAATGGTATTTCAGGTTCTCGAGTATTATGAATTATTTCATGTATCTTTTCAAAGGGCAGATCAAAATAAGTTGTCTAAAGAAGAAACGTGATCAGAGCAGTTGTCCTGCTCTCACTTTCTTTAGGAGAAAAACACTACAAATGCCTTCTTAGCTTTTGCAAAATGGTCCATCTGGTGCTGAAATTGTATTTATTTATTCAGAACCTGATGGATGTAGTTCTTAGGCCACTTGAAAAAAACAGTTCAGACATATTAAATTATGGGCAGGGAAATGTTTGGAAGGTTTGAGGGGAAAAAAAAAAGCATGCCCATTTAGGACTGTTTGAAAAATTTTTTTTTTTTTTTTTGTCATTTACCAAAGATAAGAGAACTTGCAAATTTCATACTGATCATGAGCAGTTGATATTTTCATTAACTCTGTGTGCAATTTCCTGCACATTTCCAAACAGGCTAGGAGACAACAGTTATTGGCCCCCATACATTGAGAATCCAGGTTTGTCCTAGTGCTTTCACATGGGAGGAACCCAACAGCTATATTTTCAGAATATCAGAAGACAAGAAGTGCGCACCTGCTGTGCATGCTCAGTATGCAATTTGCAAATACTCCTAACTTTGGAAAAAAAAAGCAGCTTTTTTTTTTTTTTCCCTGTTGGTCCCAAACCAATCCAAAATGTGCCTGCAGTTATGCATATAATTTGCATATACAGTTACCTTGAATGGGTGTGTACATTTTGTGCATATCTATGCTAATGATCACTAATACATCTGACCATTT